AGTTCGAGCCATCAAGAGTTACCTGTAGTTAAGTAAATTCACAGGTCCCCAGAACTTCGCTATAACTGAGTTTTCTGCATTTCTCTTTAGCAGAGGACCGGTTATCTCTCCTTAAATGCATGTGTCTAGCTGTTAAGATATACATATTTCATATCTGATTAACTTATTTGAAAATGAAGAATAGTCAAACCTGGTTATCTCGAACTCAATGGGACTGAAAAAATACTTCGAAATATCTGAGGGTTCGAGATATCCAGGGTAAAATGCTAAAAGAACTAGTGCTAATTGTAACGGGAACCGTTACAGATGTTCCCCAAACGGCTCCCCAATTCCTTATGATGCCCCATTCCCTACAAGCTTCAATAAATTAGACAATACTTTTGTAGTATAGATGGACACTTTATTTATAAGGGTATTTCATTGGAAAACTACTCCGATATAGCCATATAGGTATTAGCCAATCAAATTTCAGCGCATGTGCTTGATTCTACATTTTTCACATTAATTTTCTTATAGTGTCTCACAATACATACATTTGTGTAAAATATTAAAGAATTTCATTGAAAAACAAGGGAGATGTAACCCTTTAAGTATTAGCCAATCAGAATTCAGCATACGCGCATGCATGGCCTTGCATTCAATTTTGATAGTATCATAATGTAGGAGCCCTATGAGCATATCCATGTCGTAAATTCCATCATGTTTTGTTGAAAACCAAATGAGTTATAGACATTTAAAGTCTCAGCCAATCAGATTGCAGCACACCTGCCTGCGCGTGGTTTCAAGAGATTTCCTATGTAACATGTTGTAGCACCTTATAATATATACTTATATTTTAAATTTCAAAGTATTTCGTCAAAAAACAAGGAAATTATTGAGATTTTTGTATCAGTCAATCAGAGGAGAGCGCACGTGCATGCGCGTGAGTTCATGCTAATTTGACCATATCAACTTGTCTAGACTACTAATATATCTTTATATTTTGAGTTTCAAAGCAATTCATCAAGAAATATAAAAGTTACGGCTTTATCAAGTATATCAGTCATTTCACTCAATGCACGCGCGCGCACGTGCATGCATGTGCGCGCAAAATGACCTTCATTCCGCACACCTACACAACATGCCTATTAACCCTAAAAAGGTTTCATGTCAATCGGATGAGAGGTTCTATGAGAACACTCCCGGACAAAAAAGTACCGGAGAAGAAAGTAGAAAAAAAGAATAATAATAATAATAATAATAATAATAATAAGAAACAGAGTAAAAACAATATGTTCCCAAACTTCGTTTGGGGAACATAATAAGGGGTTGGAACTTTCAAATCACTTCGACATATCCATGGTATATGAGATATCACTGTTCGAGATACCGAAGTTCAACTGTATTTTAAAAGATATTTTAAGCAACCTTAAGGTAGCTGATTTCTATACTGTATTAATTTTATGAAATTCACATTTTATTCATGAGAACGTTTTTTACTTTTGCATAATTAAGCAAAACCCTCTGCTCTTGAAATTTTTATTCTTGGGTTTATTTGTATTATCAAAGATTATATATATATATAACAATAACCAAGATTCGTGAAATTATGTCTTGATAATAAATACCAAATAAATTTCTAACAAAAATAAGGTGTTGCCAAAAATTGGTGATCTACAGTACCGCAGCAATCTTTAAACAGAGTAATTAAAATTGTGCAAGATTTTCAACGAGGTAAAGTTTTTGGTCTTTACAAAGTCACAAGTTGAAAATAAGCCCCTGAATTCCAATCCCATTAAGGAGACAATTTTCAAAAATTATGTAGAGAAGTCATATTGGTCAGAACATGTGCATATATAGACATCAAAACACTGTGGGATCTGAATTACACAATTTAATTTTATGGATAGCCTATATTGCTTATGTTGTACATATCTGTGTCATGTCCAAAGAAGATCTAATGCATTTCCAATATAAGATCACCGTCCCCCAGGGGTCAAGAATTTCACAATTTGGTTAAAAGCTTTTTGCTCATTATTATCATGAAACCATGCTGCTGCTGGGTGTCCAGAATTTTAGAGGATTTACAAGGATATTTTATAAATTTCCATGTAATTCAGATCCAAGAGGATATTCCCTGTTTAAGGATCTTATTTAAAAAAAGTGTGTCATATTACTTAAACATTCTGATTTTTATTGAGAGGTGTTTTTTTTTTTGGCATTTCAGCCCTTCCCTGGGGGCCAGAACCCTACCTCTGCCAGCTAAATCAAGAAAAAATTCATCAATTTGATTATTTAGTTTGGTCTCGATAGGACTTACAGTTTCATTGAAATGGACCTACTCAAAAAACTGTAACTTTAAGTCTCTTATCCAGGAAATGTAAGTCAGATCAAGCATCTGAACAAGTCCAAGTTAGTGTGCATCAACCATACAAGGTTAAAAAAGTCTGGGTCAGACACAATGCTGATGCCAACATTGTGGGTTATAAGCTCATCTCAAGGTGATCTAAAAAGGTAGAATCTGTTACCCACCTTTCACATATCAGGTCATACCTTTTTTGAAAGCACATCAGTTTTGTACTAGCACACAGGCTCTTTACCGCATTGTGACTATAATACTTGGTTTAACCTAAAGATTAAGAAGGATAATACATAATAGCATCAATGGTAGTCAAAACAAATAAAAATCTACAAGTACTCTGGCCTTCATCCCTCACTAATGACCCCAGTATGCCAAAATAAGTGCCAATAATTTTTTTTATAATATCTGTTAGTTGTTTGTTAATTAATCAATCTGGTCTATGCAGAGCTTAGACTTATGTACCAATTTGATTTTTCTTGTTATATGTACAAGAACTCGGAATAGAGTTTTTCGGTAAAAATGTATGCTACTAGTATTTGAAAATCATTTCCCGATATCTAATCTGCTTGATTTTTAAACTGATGTAAATACTATACATAAAAATGCCTAAAAAATACTTTGAGGGAGGATGCATGATCATGATTCTTTTCACAAATCTTCTAATGAATACACAAACTTTTTCAGTTGCTTGTATTTGAACAATTAAAGCTCTCATTAACTTAATGCAGATTGTAGTAATTCTCTTCAAACAAAATTACACAATCTGCTCATAGATAATAAAATTCACCAATCAAATTCCTTAAAATAAATCAGTATAAAACTCCTCTTTGAAGCCTAGATAAAAAATGTTTTATCTCTTTCATTAGACACTTACTCTGTCAAATGCACCCCAATTAAAGAGCCTGAAATTCAGTGATACCCATTCATTTCACTCAATGTCCCATAAAACAGACATATTACATGTATTACGACACATCATTTATAATTTATAGATAAGCAAATGGGAAACAAGTGCAAAGCATGTTATTTGAAATGTACTTTTTTTTGAATAATGATAATTTTTGTATACAATAAATTACAAAAACTAACACCATTTTGTTTTTTAAAAAGCAAATCTTATACTATTAAATTTCTTGTGTAGTGCATTTTTGTTTTAAAACCTTAACAACAAGAATTTGGCTTTAAAATATAAAACACTTACCTTTGCCAAACACTGTGGCTACTACTGAAGTAAACATTAATATAGAGTATAGGAAGGTTTGTGAAATCTGGAACTAGTGTTTGGGGGGGGGGGGGGGGGGGGGTAAGAGACAGAGGAGTGTTGGTAGCAATCAATAAATAAATAAATTAAAAAAAAAACCCATAAAAACCTGTCTTGGAAATATATTTACCAAATTTTTCTTTTAATTAGCTAGCAATATTTTTTTCTTCCTTATAATATTTTGCAAATTTATAAGCATTGACAAGTGAAGAATAGCAATTAAATTTTATTTTGCATTTACCATTTTGATAACAAAATAAAGGACAATTAACAGCAAAAATTGCCTAGATATGTCTTAAGTAAATGTTTGACCTCACATACAAACTTAATGAGTATTTTATTTTAATTAAAAATTTCTCAGAAATGCTATTGCTTAAGTCAAGATTTTAAATACCTCTGCAGATGTTTCCAGATCATGAAAGTGGGAATCTCTATGTGGAATTGTACAAGCTACAAAATCAACCAAAGCATGCTCAACAACCCTTGAGGACTGCATGTGGATCAAGGTCTATATTAAGGTAAAGGAATGGGTAAAAGATCTAATATAATTCAAAAAAACATTACTTCATTGTCAACAATTAAACAAAAACAACAACAACAAAAAGAAAAGAAAAAAGGAAAAAAAAAAAACCAAACATTCACAATGGCATTTTCTATAGATTTTCAAAGTCTGAAATATTTTTTATCATAATTCAATTTTAAAATACTGGTTTTGTTTAATGCTTATAAAAAGAAAATAAATATTTCAATGTTCCAATTTTGCATCATTTTTCTAAAAATAAAGTTGTACAATCCATCATTCAACTCTCTTAAACAGATTTTAATCAAATGATAATTCAATAATTTTATAAGTCTGAGGGAATTAAGATTATATAAGCATTATTGATTTGTGTAAATTTTTGTCACCCCCTGGGACTTGGAGCTTTATTATACAGCCAAAATTAATGCAGTAAATGGGAATTACAAGTGATAAAATTGAGTCTTCCCATCCCAGATCAGATCACAATAAATAACTCTAAGTGAAAGTTTTCTATCAATAAAGTTAATCCAGTTTATAACCTGGATTCTTAAACAAACACAACTTCATTCAATTAATGTAGCTTATATAGAAATATTTCAACATAAATGTAATTCCTCAAAGTGTGTTCTAAAACATATTCTGAAATACTAAGGAATTAACAAATGTGTTAAGTTTACAGATACCACAGATGCTATCAGAGAGAGCAAGCCTTATTCAGCAGCCACAAATTACATAAATAATACCTACATACTTGTGAAATTTACTCACTTACAGACAAGCCGTGTGATTGGCTGTAGAAACCATCATTTGTCACATGGGATAAAGTTCAAACATTTGTACAAACATTTCTATTGGCTGTTGTTTCTAGTATCCAGGATTTTAACCTGGGAAACAACAAGTATACAAATTTTTGCAAAAAACCCGCTGCAATTCAGTATTTATTTGGTCTCTTTGCATGCTCCAATAGGAGAAATTGATCTTGGTTTATCGCTGGGGTTTTGCAGGGATATATCCAATAGCTATCTCACAGTGGTAAGTTTATATCATACTTCAGTGTATTCCTTTCATTGTTTTAGCAAGTATTCATTAATTGCTACTATTGGAAAAACATTTTCAATTAATAGATAACTATCTCTTATTCTATGTAGTTTAAAAGTCTTCTTTCTTTTCAATTTTTCCTTTTAATTCATTGTTTATTGAAGCAGGATTAATCATTGCCATGCAATAAATTATATTCTGTACATGAAAACAGTATTAAAAGTTAATTTAATGCATGGTAAAATTGATATCAAATATTTTTATTTACTATCAAATTATCATTTTTGTAAAGAGTGGAATTAGACCATATTTCCTAAATGTTAGTTTGACCCAATAAATCAACAATGCAATGAGATTAATTGCTAAGTGTGTAAATAAAAATATCAATATTGTGTACTTTATTATACCCTATGGACATCAAATGTTTCCCAAAGTGAAAAAGTAACCTATTACTTTTTTTTCCATCTTTATCAAAAATGCACCTCCAGTTGACTTAATATGTTATAGAACTGAAAGAAGTATTCTATACCAATGTCAAAATAAAAAAAAGGCCTGATTCACCTCGAAATCCTGAAAGTTTTGCATGTAGACATCAAAACCTTGCAAAACAGATTTGATATTCAATTTGATTAGTATTTCAGCAAATTGAAACCGATTTCATACCATTGTGTTATGTTGCAGAACATTGAAATGAATATGAGTAAATCAAGTTTTAAACTTGAGAGCATTTGATAACTGAATGAAGCTTTATACTTAATCAAATATCTTTTTAGCTGTATAGAAAATCATTTGGCAATTATTTCAATATTTCAGATAACCAAGTTTTTGTTTTATTTCAATCCATGTAAAAAAATTTAAACTGCATTATAGATGAATCAAACATCAATACAAGCTGGCCTACTACAGAACTGTTAATGACAAAATTGCATGATACTGGAGCATTAAATTCTACTATCGTGCAATTCCAAGTTGAAGACATGACAATATGAGCATTTTATAAACAGTAAACGAGCCATGCTAATTAAATTAGATTGTGAGATACCATCATCATTATGCCTCCAATAGTGGGCAACTTTATTATATCACACCTGGTTGTTAACCAGACTATCAGATACTGCAAACCTTAATGGCAGGACTTCGTGCAATATTATATTTAATATCGCTTCAATCTGTCAGGTTCTATAGAAATGTATGTGCTCCTAGATGCAAATGATGTACTAAATAATAATCACATAGAGATTAATGTGTTAGAGCATTGCTGATTTACACCTCATATAGTAGATGAGACTGTCTACAAATAAATTATTATTTTGATAAATAATTAAGCATTGAATCATTATTTTTGGAAAGATATAGTCTCATAACTGCAACAGTGTGTGCAAATTGAGTAATGCGCATTAATGCGTTATGAAACTTTTTTTTGCAAACACCGTTGCAGTTACGAGACTATATCTTTCAAAAATAATGATTCAATGCTTATATTTAGATTTTTTAACTCCTTGCCTTGACTGCAAATGTGATTTATATTTCAAAACCCCTCTATTATTCTTCGGGTAAATTAAAAATAATGGAAGAGCCGTTGCAACAGCTTCTGTTCAATGTGAGCATGAATTCTGATTTTCGCTCATGACCTTGCACTTCCTCGGCATTCAACAATAAAACGCATACTTTAACCTTTTGACCCCTTGTCTGTGTTATGGTGTGTTGAATGCCGTAGCTTTCCTCACACTTTATAAGCAAACTACATGAGGAATGTAATATAATACAATGTCACAAATTTACATTTATAATTCTTAGGAGACCTACCAATAAACATTCATTTTCTGCTTGAACTTATTCATAAAGTAGAAATTCATTTATATTGTCTTAACCAGAAATTTTCCTGGATATCTGAATTTTGCTCCTATGTATATCTTAGAGCCATGCAATAAAAAATTTGGTAGAACTATGTAATTTAAAAGACAAACTCTTGGGAATTGTGATGGAAAATAAATGGTCCCCAGAAATTCCTTGAAGTCACAAGAAAAATCCATTACAAAATTAATAGCTGCATTCACTGTATTGAAAAATGGCAATGCACTTCCAGCACTTGAGTTTGTTTGAAATTATTTCTTTTAGTTTATTGTATTTAGAGGCAAGGAAATAAAGATATATGCATATTGTGATTTCAATTCTGGTTACCATATTTGCCCTAGTGAGCACTCATGCCACTGCAAGTTAAAATCCATATTAAAATTAATCTGATAAGAGAATAAGTGTCCCTTCTTAATCATCTTGCAAGAAAGAAAATTACTGTGAAATGGCTTATTTTCATTGGGGGTGGGGGTGGGGGGTTAATTTTCATTGTTTTCATGGTATGAAGAGAACCACAAATTCATATCCCCCACAAAATATGAAAACTGCACATTGCAGTATGGTGTTTCTCCTTTAAATCAAATTCCCTCGAACCAGTTATTTTTCCTCAAACCACGAAAAATTTGACCCAATGAAAAATGATTTTACAGTATCATCTATGTGTTAACAAAGGAGAGAAAATCCTTCTTATATGTATATCTAATATGTTTAAATGTTAGTTTTTTAACCTTTTAAACAAATCATAATTAAGATTAGAAGTATCTCAATTTTTCCCAATTTTCTGAGCACTGGGTCACTTAAAAATGTTGGAAAGTATAGAATCGTGAACTGTCAATGTATAACCACTGATCTTACAAGTCTGGGAGCAACATACTGTAGTATCTGTATATAAATACTGTTCCATTGACAAAGGAAATGCTCTCCACTGTGTGACTATTAGATAATAACCCCCCTGAGATTTTGTAATTGATTCATTTGTAATAAATACTGTATCAACAGGGTATAGTAAAAGTAAATTAACAACCCTGATACTAATACTACAAAGCATAAATTGCTCATTCAGCTGCAGTTTACAGCAGCACTGATATTAGTCTTTTTTCTTGTATTTAGATTTATATTCAATGTTATGAGATAGTCAGGGTATTAGTTGAAGAATTTGACTGATTTTTTAAATTTAATATATAACCTATAGTTATAAGCCTTCATTGTAGACTTGTCTTTTTCATTGAAAGCATGAATTGGATTTTATTCACAAAATCCTGTTGACTTAGCTATCCTCCCAAAGGCATGTGATATGGATAATTACCAGTAGTCTGTTGAGTCATTACCATTTTCCCTAATTTTACCAATAAACTCTCCAGAGTATTAACAGCTGAGTCCAAAATAGGACACTCCATACCCCACAGAAAAATTTCTCACCTCCAAAATTCCAATTAATCCTGGGTCTACCACCTGTAAGACATAATACAATAATGAGTATGTACAGATAATCAGTTAATTAAGCTGGAAGGATGTGTGTATAAACAACTTTACATATTGGATGACTTGCAGTTATCCCTCAGGATTAGCTACTGTCAAAGTCTTATGTCACTATTCTGATAGTATACAGGGACTTTACTATACTCTTTATGCTAGAATTAATCTTATTAAATTAGCACAAATGTTAATGAAACTAACAAAGCTTGTCCCAGAATTCAATATTTCTCCAAGAATGATGTCCAGCTCCTGACTTCTCAGTTTGTCATCATTTTTCTTGGTGTACCTTTAGCACTTCTACCATCAGACTCCAGTCTACCTTAACCCTTAGGAGATCTGTGGTTGTGTCATTTACTAGGCATTTTCATCTCTTTTTCTGTATAAACAAAAGTTATTTTCCACTAACATATTACTAAATGATAATTTGGTGTCCTGTATTATTGCCTGATATCACCATTTTTATAATATAGGAGATTCATTCATTTTAAGTTCATTCAAACAATACAAACCAGAAGCGGAGCAAACACGGACCTTTAAAACATCATAGGTGGGATCAGGGGCCATGGAGGAGTGAGTATCCCCTGCCAACTGGTCACATCTAAGAGAAAGTGTTTGTACATATGTCATATAATTGCCATTTATACATGTGTAAAATTCTTGAATTTTTACACATTAGTACTCCAGATCACAGAGATTTTATCATGTAAATTTTATCAATTATATTTCTGTATTATTTAGTAAATAAATAAACAAATCATGGCTAACAATATTAAATGCTGTTTTCTCTTGCATATAACATAATATTTAGATCAAAACATCAAATATATCATTTCCCAACAATGTGCAAAAATTCAATAATATTGGCCAGGTTAAGTTTATGATATATTTAAAAGTTTGCATTTTTCTGGGATGACCCTATATATATATATAAGTATAAATGTGAATTATACAAGGATTCATCCCAGTGTTTCTCTCTTAATCATTTTTTCTTTTTTATTCTATATTACAGCTGCTAACTTTTTAACATTTGTAATAGTGTACTTGCTCCACCTCATGGGTTACTCTTCCTGAATTTCTCTTCAGACTTTATTCTGTAACTCATGGTGTGTAAATTCTAGCTGCAATATTGTGGAACAAATTGTTTATAGTTTACTGACTTTAGGTTAAGGTACTTCAAACATCAAGTGTTGAATGCTAGATTGATTCAATGAAATTGTAAGCCTGAAATTAGCTTTCAAATATCCTCCAAGAAATAAGAATTGGGGGGAAAAACACATCCCAGGATAGCAGCAGTATGTAAACAAAGATTTCTGGGCAAGTAATTTTTTTTTTTTTTAAATAAATTTTAATCTACTCACGAATCTCAAGAAAAACATAGACATTAATTGCATTTGCAAAATCAGTTCAGTTTATGACACAAGTGGGACAATGTCTGGATTCTGGTAACTTGACCGTAAAAACCAAAGACAGGATATTGGAAAAAAAATTCCTTGAAATTATCAATAATCATTGAAAAGATAAAAACAACCACAGCAAAAGGAAATCAATCACGGGTATTATGCTTGACATCCACGAGTCTGGGGGCCATCTTGTCAAGACACATTTGACAGAGCGATTTTGAACATTCAAACGTCTAGGTCTTGGATAGAACACCATCATGCTTG